ACATACACACACACACACACACACACACACAAAATTGGAGAAAAAAATAAAAATGAAGAAAAAGAAAAAACCAAAAAAAATATGAAGAACGACGGCAATACGCCAGACAGTGAAAACGGAGGAGCAAACGTGTTCGCAAGGAGTGGGATATTGCAGAGATCACCAGTGTCGAACCTGGGGGTCACTGCGAGTTCCAGCAGCAGCAGTAAGTTTCAAGAAGAGCAGCCAGGCGTTGGGCTAAGCCAGATATTCTCACCAATATCCAGTAGTAGCAAATCCCAAGAACTGCAGCTCGGGAGAACCAAAATGACGGAGGTCAGGAGGAAGATCGATGATCTCTATGTGTTCGTGAAGGATAAAAACAACGTACACAAAGAGATCAAGCAACTTGTGACCGGTATCAAATCCGGCATAACAGTGGCAGATCGGGAATGTCAAGAGTGGAGAAAAAGGGCCGAAAATGCCGAAAAGGCTCTGCTGGAGGCCAAGGAGAACATAAGACTGGCTCAAGCACATGAGACTCCGAAGGGACCCACAAATCCACGTCCTGAAAAGAGAGATAGGGACACGCCAGGAGATGAGGAGGAGCCCAAAAAACGCAGGGACGACGAGGAAGGCATCAAGGAGATGGGAGAAAATGGTGCGTGGCGTAAAGTCGAGAACCAGAAGGAGAGGAAGAAAAAACAGAAGGAAGATGAAGTGAGGAAGAAGGAAGAGGAAGCGAGGAGGAAGGAAGAAGCAGCGAGGAAGAAGGAAGAGAAGAAGAAGGAAGACAGGAAGAATAAGGAGAAGCCTAGGCCTCGTAGGGAGAGAAGCAAGGGTGACGCTCTGGTTGTTGAGGCGAAGGACAAAACGTCCTACGCAGCACTCCTCCGGAAAGTGAGAGAGGATCCGGAGTTGAAACAACTAGGCGAGAATGTGGTGAAAACCAGGCGAACCCAGAAAGGCGAGATGCTATTCGAGCTGAAAAGGGACCCTACGGTTAAGAGCTCAGCTTTTAAGGAGCTCGTCGAAAAATCTCTTGGCGAGACGGCGAACGTAAGAGCCTTATCCCAGGAGTCAGTGGTCGAGTGCAGGGATCTGGACGAGATCACAACAGAAGACGAGTTGAAAAGTGCGCTGAAGGTGCAATGCAACCTGGGAGACGTACCGATGGCAATTCGGTTGAGAAAGGCGTATGGTGGCACGCAGACGGCGTCGATACGACTTTCTTCGGACGCAGCTAACGAGCTGCTGAAGACTGGCCGAATCAAGGTTGGGTGGTCAGTGTGCCCGTTGAAAGCTATTCCTCGGGTATCTAAGAAAATGGAGAGATGCTACAAATGCATGGGCTTCGGTCACCAGGCGAGACACTGCAAAGGCCCTGACAGATCTGATCTGTGCAGGAAATGCGGAGAGAAGGGGCACGTTGCAAAAGACTGTACAAAGCAACCGAGGTGCATGCTCTGCAAAAAGGAGGACGGAAATGGCCATGTGACGGGAAGTTTCAGGTGCCCTGAGTTCAAGAAGGCGATGGTGGGCCAGCAATAATGAAGGTAACCCAAATAAATCTCAATCATTGTAACACAGCACAGCAACTGTTGTGGCAGTCAACAACGGAAACAAAGTGCGACGTTGCAATCATTGCAGAGCCATACCGAGTCCCTCTCGATAATGGTAACTGGGTGGCGGATAGAGCAGGAATGGCGGCCATACAAGTCATGGGCAGGTATCCCATACAACAAGTGGTGGCAAGCTCATATGAAGGTTTCGTGATCGCCAAAATCAATGGAATCTTTGTATGTAGTTGCTACGCACCCCCGAGATGGACAATTGAGCAGTTCCACCAGATGCTAGATGGGCTCACCGAAGAGCTCATTGGACGGAGACCAGTCGTCATCGCAGGAGACTTCAATGCTTGGGCAGTGGATTGGGGGAGCAGATGTACCAACGCAAGAGGGTATAGCCTGCTGGAAGCTCTGGCAAAGTTGAACGTCAGTCTGGCCAACGAAGGAACCATCAGCACCTTCCGCAAAGATGGTAGGGAATCCATTATCGACGTTACTTTCTGCAGTACGTCGCTAATGGCAAATATGAACTGGACAGTGTGCGAGGAGTACACCCATAGTGACCATCAGGCGATCCGGTACAGTATCGGCGAACGAACACCGGTGGAAATGCGGAGGACGAAAGTAAGCGAGCGGAAGTGGAAGACGAAGGCATTCAATAAGGATCTCTTCATCGAAGCTCTAAGGGTAGACAACAGCGTCCCGGGCCTAAGCGCGAATGAGTTGACCGAATTATTAGCAAGGGCATGTGACACAACTATGCCGAGAAAACTGGAGCCAACGAACAGGCGGCGTCCAGCCTACTGGTGGAACGAGGAAATTAGCACCCTCCGTGCTACTTGTCTTCTAGCCAGAAGGCGTGCTCAGAGAGCAAGAACAGAAGCAGACAGAGAGGAGCGCAGGGTGGTGTTCCGAGAGGCCAGGGCTGCACTGAAACGAAAGATAAAGCTGAGCAAGTCAAATAGTTTTAAGGAGTTGTGCCGCGATGCCGATGCCAACCCCTGGGGCAACGCATACCGAGTTGCGATGGCGAAGATCAGAGGCCCAACGATGCCGGTTGAAATGTGTCACAACAAGCTGAAAGTCATCGTGGAGGGACTTTTCCCACAGCATGACCCAACGAACTGGCCACCTACACCATATGGCGAGGTAGATGAAGACAACGTTGAACAAGTCTCCAACGAGGAACTCATAGCAGCAGCGAATAGTCTTTGTGTTGTAGCTTATGAGCCAACGCATCGAAACAAACGTATTATTGATTTGTTTACGGTGAAATCATTGATATTATTGATGATTTCTGCTCGATAGAACGGAAATGGGCGATTAAGATGAAGTAGCGCTCTACCCTATACTGTAGTTTTAAAGATTTCTTGAGGTTTGGTGGACGCACATCAATCATTTTACAAGTAGGAGGGACTTACAATGCTAATCTAAAAGCATAATTAAAGGTACCGTTTGATAACTTAAGTGCTTGGTACAGAAATCATCAATTCCGTGCAATAATGTCAAAAGTCCAAATTTTTTATTTTTGAGATTTTGATTGCAAATGATGGTAAAAACCCATGTCGTGATACTTTTTCAAAAACAGCCAAAAAATAAGTAGCATCTAAGGCAGATGTTGAGTTGAGCCTATGTTGTCCATACAAATATGTAATTTAGTTATCCTTTAGCATTTTGTTTATTCATGCAATATAGCCACAACTCAAAAAAGTAAACCCATTTGTTCGGGAGCTTCTGGTGATAAAATTACTTATATGGCCTTATCTTAACAAACCTTGAAATTACAGGCCTTACTGTTGATATCGATTCCGTTTTGTATGTAGCTTGTTGAAACAATTATCTTTCGTTTTTCCTCGATTTGTTTTACGTCAATCTTGTTTTCCGGGCTGAGCACCAATTCTACCGACTCAAAGGAGGCTACTCCCACACCTGGACCCTACCTATCGACCCATCAACTCATGAACCGGGGACCAATGGCTTTACGTGATCAGAGATGTTATGCCTCAGAACATCAAGGCGGCGCCGACTGAGATTGAACCCAGACCTGCTGGGGTGAGTGGTAATCACGCTTACCACTACACTACCGGCGCCGCTGAAACAATTATCTGAATAGTAATAAAAGTCACAAATTTATCTTGATTACAAATCCTGGCGACAGCAAAATTGCCCCGTTGACAGCATTAGTGTCTAATCATTCGGGACCCTGTTATTAACTGTTAAACTGTTAACACTGCAACAATCCATTTGAGGGATACAAGATAAAACAGCAAAAAATTCCTTTTTAGGGCCACAAATTAAAAACATAGAGTTAAAATTATAGATCTTTAACAATTTAAAGCATCAAACCCAAAAACTAATGCACCAACCAATGCGTTCCAGAATCTTGGAAATTTTCTTTATCACATTTTTTAAGATTTCTGTTAGTTCAGACTACGGAGTGTTTTCAAACATTTGTTACTCTGAAATATCCAACAATTTTCCCTACATCTCATTTGTATGCAAGATTTCTTAAACAAATTCTTAATTCAATCTCTCAATCTTTATAATTCGGTCTAACGACCCATTGAGCACAATAGCGTTCGACCTATTCCATACAAACATTCAATCATACCATCAATACTTCTATTGACTTCCACACTGGACTGACAGATTCATAATTCTATTCTAATTTGCTGACCCATAATTGTGCGATGATGTACAATGAATGTGCAATGGATCAAATTAGAGAGGGTCTAGTATAAGAGAGGAGCGGATTGGATGGTTTTGAGCCAAACGAACTGTCAAAGCCAGAGCCAATCGAGCAGCGCCTATCTTGATTGCATTGGCAGTGTTGCAAGATATCATCTAGGCATAGGTTGCCAAGGCAGTTTGTTTTGAATCCGCTCCTCTCCTTTACTAGACCCTCTCTAGATCAAAAAAAAAGGGTTTTTTTTTTAATGTATCATGCGAAGCCATTTTGTTGAATAATGCTATCAGCTTGGAAAAATTATTCCTGTAGTTTTAAAAATAATCATTGAATAATTTCAATTTTTACTTAATATTATAAACCTGGAATTTTTTTTAAAATTTGATCCAAGGAATCCGAAAAAAACAAGAATTTCGAAACGAAAAAAAAAAACGAAAATTCACTGGCCCCGATGTTAATTTTTCCTCAATTTAGCGTGACACAATTAAAGTATGGCCGCTTATACGGATATCTTTGATAAATATCCAATGTCCCAGAAGGTTGAAAATTGTTTCAAAGAATAGTCTAAGTTCAAACTTTGACCTTTCCATATTCGATCTAATGAGATTTGGTCTAGTGACCGTCAGCCTAATGGCTCTACCTTGTTTAATTAAATATGTGGTGTAAACACCAAATGCATCGTCAGAATTCCTAGTTATAGCTATGCAATTGAACGGTTATTTGAGTAATATTGATTTAACATAAATTCTTCATATTCTTTTTCACAGGTGTGTGCCCTCTCCCGGCGGGAAGTGATAAGCAGTCAGGAACTAATTACCGGCTTCGAACATGACAATCTAGGCAAACCGGTGCAGCAAAATTTGCTTGCCAATCCGGGACTCAGCTACGAGGAGGTCCTCAACGATGACTTCCAGTTCGATATGAATGCCCATGACGTGATGGTATTTTTACATATCCAAAAGACCGGTGGAACTTCATTCGGAAAGCATTTGGTGCGAGATCTGGACTTGAAGGTGAGTTGATGCTCGCGAAACATCTATTCTATCGTCAACCGTTATTTGACTGCCTCGTTAGTTATGTATGATTGTACTATTAGCATATATTGCGTCCACCTAATAGCTGAGTACGCACACTTGACTATAGCAATGCCAAATCTGCGCCATAGGTCAATCGAAGAACATTTAGAGTAGAATGGCGAACATCAAATTTATGAACCATTGAATTACCCATTTTACGATCGTTGCGTCTTGTTCGTCTCATAATTTGATTAAATTTTATTCGACTGAATTTGACATATGTTCTGCTCAACTAAACCACGTATTCTTAAGGTAAAATGACGACCATCCGATAAGTTATGTCAGCACGGACGTCTATTCTACAGCTGAGGTGTATTACAACCCTTGGGGAGGATTATTTTTAATCATGTCACACCTAATCACAATCGAGAATTTAAAATTTTAACTCAATTCTCCCGGCTACTCCCAACATTTCATTGGCGCCTTCGCCAAACGGGGGATGAGCAATGAAACGTGTTTTACGATTCCCACCGGTGTACTGTGGCGAATGTTTCCTTCACGTTCCATCCGATGGCGTCACATGGCGAGAAAAATGAACTATGTTGGCATTTTAATAGTACCGGCAAGGCACACCGGGCGGAATAAATCATGGTGCGGAAAAATACACGTGCATGAAAGCTATTTAGTTCTATGACAAATATGTTACAAACACCCTGAATGTGGGAGATCGGATGGGATAAGATGCTAATTAATATGAAATATCAACCGGTGTCAGTGTCATTGTAAATCATTTGGATGGTTTCTTAATCTCCCAAACTGCGTGCTGCACATGACGATAGGTAGCACGGATTTGGACAGAACATTTTTTACGAGGCAAGCTCGTAATTTTGAATTTACATAACGTTGACAGATGATTCTTTTTAAAATTATTTTGATTTTCTTTAATGTATGGATCAAGAAATAAAACATCATAATATTTTTTTGCATTAATTAATTGTTTTATAATATTTTTTCAGATTCTCAGATTGATTTTAGTTTCACATGCAAAATTTCATGATAATCCATCCAGTGCTGATAACAATCATTTTTTCTACACTCAAATAAGCTGAAAATGAAGGCAACCATGAAAGATAAACCAACTACCTGCATGAATTTGAATTTTGACATGATAACATGCTCTTGGTCAAGGCAACCGCTGAGTTTCGAAGTCAAAAATTGTTTTTGTTCATTCAAAAATGCGTATTCATTATCGCCTGTTCGGTTGTCATATCAATATTCATAGTCATCCTGGTGGGGATGAATATAAAGTTCAAATACGAGATGATTATTTTCGTTTTACACAAATATATCGTTGTGGAACTTATGTTCTAGTTGCATTTCCACAGCTATTCATTGTGTAGCCCAGGGAAGTCGAGAAATGTTCCAATCCGAAACATTCCTAGACCGGACCGGAAATCTAACCCAGTCATCTCCAGCAAGACCATGCTTGTTGCTGCGTCTTTACCAACTGAGCTAAGGGATGTGGATTCAGTAAAATCAAATTGCTTAAAAAGTATGGTGGTAACGATTTAAAAAAAAAAAAAAACTACAAGGGACAGCCCTATGGTGTTGTACGCAATGATTACGTAGAACTACGTGGTCTTATATAATAAATCTTATTTGTTAACTGCAGCAGGAGCTTGTGTTTTGTGTAAGAATAGGAATTTGAGCGGGGTTATCTCTGTTTATACTCTTTAGAATGACGCGCTTGACATAGATCCCTAGTAGCACCCTTGTTATAAAGTGGTCTCGAAAACTTATATATTAGGGCCTGTTCATAAACTACGTAGACAGTTTTTTTGGGATTATTGACCCCCCCCCCCACCCCCTGCGTAGACAATTGCCCATACAAAAAAATAAAATTTGTTTGGGCCGTGGATAATTGTCAACCCCCCCCCCCCCCCCCCTAAACTGTCTACGTAGTTTATGGACAGCCCCTTACTTATTTCAATTATAAACAAGTTGCTGCAACTTTTTGGGACATAATTGTGCTACTTGGGATGGCCCACAGGACTTACGAAGAGCTACTAATTCCGATCAATAGCGGTGCGGCTTCTTCCTCCTATGGAGCTCAAGTGGGCTGCAGCTCGTTGCTTGCAGGAAGCCCTTCGTTCTGTACTGGAGAACAATGTTCAATGCCACGTGCCGAAAGCACTGCTGCTGCTGCTGATGCCAACGACTGGACACCACCACACACGGTGATTGGAATTGAATCCGATCGACGGTTGAGGCCAGCTTTGATAGCTAGCTGCTTGCGGCGAGCCATTCGTTGTGTATTGGAGAACACCACCACTCACCACGTGGTGATTGAATAAACACCGTTTGGTGAGGCCGGATGGAATTCTACTTTGAAATCAGTGTTAGGGAAATCGCTTTTCGCTGGCAATCGGTGATAATTTTCACCATCATAGCAACAGTTGCACATCCGTGCAATTTTCAATAGTGACATGTTGAAAAATAATAATGTCTTAAATTTAACAGATGCGTAGAAATATTTCTGACCGATTAAATTGATAAATTGGTCCAGGGGCAGCTGAGTTATTAACGTTCAAAATCTTTAATAATTTTGTTTCATATTCCATTTTCGGTTTTCACAAAGTGTATCCCCATACAAAACTCACAGACGTAGTCCTACGTAAAAAAAAATCCGACCAGTTTTGGTATGCCCCAGTAGTGGTTAGCGTGAGTGCTTTCTCACCCCAATGTGTCTGGGTTTAATCCCAGCCGAGGTCGTTGGAATTTTTCTGGGGCGAAACAATCTCTGGTCACGTTTTCCTTCGGAAGGGAAGTACAGTAATACCAACCGGTGGAAACTTACGATTTTAAATTGGCTCACTACTAGCCTATTGGTCCCAAGTAAATCGATTAACGTACCCCATTCCAGTCAAAATTCTAGTACTACACTATTAGCGAATTCGTTTATTATTGGGGTTGGAACCAGTTCCAACCCAGTGCGAAACCGAACTTTTTGTCAGTGCGAACCTCAACCTGAGCTGGGTTTTAAAAACAAACGATCAAACTGACGTTTGTCAGAAAACAAGCGGACCCAATCTTGAAACCCGATCCATGTTGGAACTGAATAATAAACGAATTCGCTATGAAAGTTTGACGGATAAAATGAGTCGTTCGTGGATTTTCCTATGTTTCGAAGGGTGCATCGATCAGCTTGGGACCGAAAAGAGTACCAGAGCTGAGCCAAAAAGTTTAGCACGTTTCTTCGTGACCTTCTGGTCTTAGAGTTACCTCTATGGTAATACCTGCATTTATGCGGTGGGTGGTACCGTCCACCCACCACTATTTCTCGGTTGTCCTCTAACCAATTGTGCTGATTTAAATAACTAGTTTACCACTACTTACACCAATCACATACACAAAATCACGGAACCACGCACCGCACAAATGGAGGAAAGCCATGTTGATGGGTGTGATTTCTACCCAGGTGTGGAAGCCGCCTCTCTGGAATTCGATTGCCGTCAATGCACTATGGGCAAAAAAGAGAAAAAAATACCTAAAATCAGTGTAGGAAAAACATAAAAAATCAAATCTCACCAATGGCCAAGATCACGCTTGATCTAAACAAAAATCAACAAGCAAACAACTGCGGTTGATATTGCAAGCTGTAATATCGCAGCTCAGAATATCAAGCTAACAAAACTCACCAGCTGCAAATCTCAACAAACTGTGGTGAGTTTGAATGTCATGATTTTTGCTTTACACCCGAACCCAACCAAAACTTCCATAATGGCTGGCAGCAGTTACTTCGTGTCTGCCATCGGTGAACAGTAAAAAGAGGTAGCAAACTATACTTTCTCTTTCTTTGAAAACGATGTGCAACGGAATCATTTTTGTGTCGAGTCAACTCTCAGCTTAATGTTTGCACGTTGTGAATAGTGTCGCAATATCAAAGGAGCTTGTAAAATCAATTTCAATGATGATATTTGATTGATGATTTTGTCCACACTGCCTAAAATTCAATATCTCGAAAGGACGCTGAAATTCCGGCCATGAACATTGACATTGTGTTTACATCTATGCGGATTTGCTAGAACGAATGTCAGTTGCTCCTGAAATCTCTTGCTGGCAGACGCTGATGCCCTGTTTACATAATGCTGGTGAGGTTTTTTGCTAGCAGCTGGCTCATTAGCGCTAGTGAAATAGCATAAGTGTTAACACCCCATTAAAGCAAACTGGCGTTCTGCGGCGAACAAATTCGACGAGGTGGCTGTACTGTTTCTGATAGCAGGAGTTAAACGAAAGGCCTGTCAACTCGAATTCGGTCAACCGAAAGCTTAGCTGAATATTTTTTTCTGTATTTTAAACTTATAAAAGAAAAACCATTTGATTTTCGTAATAAAAAAAAACAATTTAACACGCATTTCAAATTTTGATCGTCACACCCTTTATATAAAGTAATGGTCTCAATCCGTAGTGTGATCTGAAATGTTTTTGGGGTTTGAAGGTCACTAAGTATATGTATAGACTACACAATCACATAATATTTTAACTTTTTAATAAGATAAAATTAAAATTGGAGCTGATTTTACCCCAAGTTACCTTTATTCGAAAACAACATATCAAGAAGACTGGCAACTCTTCCATTTTCTCACAACCGGTATGAGACAAGCACAATTGCGTCATCTGCCGCTCAAAGGTAAATGCTCCTATTGAATTGGATAGCAAGGTTCCACCCTTAGAAGAAAGGTGTGTGTATTTGCTCATTTTTCTATGCGTTGCTTCCACCCTCGCTCGAGCGCAGCGCTACTGCGTCTGTCGCTTGGATTCAGGCAAAGTTGCCAGTCTTCTTGGCATGTTCTTTTCGCTTTATTCCTAAATGGTTTTGTTTTTACTGCGAGCAAATTTTTAGTTCACCCAAAAAATCTCACGGTTTGTCATGTTAACTAATTTAAAAATATTAAATAGAACCGTGTATTCACTTTAGCTCCCAATCCCCAATTCAT